ACATACTCGATCTAAAAATGACTATAGTCTAAATTAACGTTCGTTCAAATAAATTCGCAATTGATCTTCCAATTTTTCGCTGCTCTGTCTCTTCGCTCCTTGCGAATGCAAGCGTGACTTTAGGCCGACCGATGGGGGACGGTGCGCGGCCTCATTCGAAATTTCGATTAAATGGGATTTCGATATGCGCGAAACATGTCCCGAAGGGAAATTTAGCGGACGTTGTAGCCGTGGGATCGCGTCGTCGGGCGTGGGGTGGCGAAACAGAGGACCGGCCCGGGCCGAGAGACGGGGTGAGGGACGTAGTCGGGGTAGTTTTCGGCGATAGAGTCATTGGCCGTTCGGGTGGATAATGCGAAATGAAATTGTCACAATAATCGTTGCCGAACGGTATACGCCGCGGCTAGATAAACTCGGACAGTTATACGGGGTGGTCAGTTTACCCGGGCGAATACCACGAATTTTGTACCCGACGGAATTACGTCGACGCTCGCAAATGCTGTTTGCTTAAGAGTATATTCTTATATAACCCTATATTATTTTATGTATCTCAAATTTGTAAATTTGCAATACAAAAATGAGTTTGAAACCTCGGCTGAACAGTAAATTAAAATTCATGATCAATTAAAAGATCTGTTCGCAATTTCTAGTCACTGCCTCTTTTTTCTACAATTTCATATTTATTAACCAGTAAGTAGAAATTGTGAGATGAACACAAATGAGGACATTTCCAATATAAATGAAGGCGAATCTTATAATTAACTTAAATACTATATTTCTCTCAGTAAATCATTTAATAATTGTATTCCATTCTTTAATAAGATTCTATACTGCAATAAATCTGAATTCGTTCTTTAATATGATTTAATAGCTGATAATCATGGAGTGATTGAAATTATTAAATCGGGGGACAGTACCGACGAGCTGAATAATAAATTCACCTGGCACAAACTAAATTCACTTTCTGGATTTATTCTGACCATACGATTTTCATTCGAGACATGTTAATTGACGGCTAACTCGATTTTACAAGTCTGGTACTAGCGAAGAAGGAGTCTTGCAATTTTTAACAAGCGCGTTCCACGTGTCTTTCAAGAGCTCCGCATTCCTTATTCTACAGTTTTAAATCTTTCGCGAACTTTCTCATCCGTTATTCTCCTTCCACAAGGTTTTTTATAACTTCTTTTAGATTATTCCTGACATTCACTACGGCTTTGTCTAACACGTTTATCCAAATGTTTCGTGTGCTTCCTTGATTCCTTATTTTCACTAATCTGCACGAATGTGCATAAATTAAGAATTCCCTCGTTCGTCGTTTTTGTTCCAGGCCACTTATAAATCCCGGGAGGTCCCGTTCATTTACCGTGAAGTCAATGATCAATTGAAACATGAATTTTGTCCGGGATTTCGAAAATAGCCTGTAACGTTTCGTGTCCATTATTAACGGCTCTAGCTTCGAACAGGGCAGAAACGACATCATGCACGCTATTCGATAATTCACGGTCTCGTTTTCTTCTTTATTACAACCGTTGATTCTCTTCATTCCGGGAATATTGCATTACACGCGCACGTCAACCTTTTGTGCGTCACCGTAACGCGGTCTAAAATCGGTTAAATGGCAAACAAAACGTGTTAAATACTGATAACATCGCATCAATACTGATCAACGAGATAGGAACATAAAAGGCCTTCGCGTCAACGTTTTGACGAATTGTTTTTAGTATTCTCTTTTTTTTTTCCTAGTATAGAATTTATTTTCGTCGGCAAATATCATCCGACGGGAAATGCTTTTATCGTGTAATTTTGTAATTCATTCCATCAATATGCATGCAAATGAATGTTATGCGGCAAATGGGCGCACTCCGTGGAAGTGAAAATACCTCGTCCACACGTACGGTTTTATAAATATCAATCAGTATTTACAAAACTTTTTATTTTTCTCGACGTCGATTACATTCGCGCATCCGTTTCACGTTAGAAATAAAAATCTAATTCAATATCTTAGATTAGCATTTCGCGTTGGGGTTCGATAGACTATTAAGTGATAGAAGACCGTGTATGGTCAGACGCGTGTTAATCGAGTTCCCTTTGAAAAAATCTTTTTAACATAATCAGCAAGTTTGTCAAAGGATCATTACCGTTTGGAAATCGTCCGAAAAAATGTGCCAATGACACAGAATTTAACGACGGCCGTGTGACGTAAAGAGAAAAGCTTCAATCGTTCGCGAAACGGATTAATCGCGCGCATTGAAATCCGTTTCAGCTCGGACAGGGAAATTTCGTTCTCTTTTAGGCTTCGCGTTCCTTCCCATACAGGTACCAGCAGCGGTTAATGAGGGGATAGGGGGGGGGGCGGCTCGTCCACGTTTTTTTCCCCCCTCCTCCTTCTTCCTGCCGCTTTACGTTGCCTCGCGTTTCCCGCGAAGCCGAAAATTGGTCGACGAAGGCGCGAGGTGGGAATATCGATATGCGGGCGGAGTAAAACAGAATCGAAATGAGACACGGGCCTTTGAAGGTCCATCAGTCGTGAAAAAAGGCTTCTTGTCTCGTTTTTTCTTCACTAGTATAGGATTCACCGTCGCCTGGTTTATTGGTGAAGCCTGCTAAATTGTCACGCGGAAAACTGCTCGCCTTTCCGCGGAACGGAAAGGAACAATCAACTTCTATGGTTTTTTCTTAATCTTTGGAGTCTCGTATGAGATTCATTTAGCTGTGCACGTTTTTATTCAAAAAAAAAACAATAAATTTCAACAATATTGACTTAACATCTTAAATTTTCAGATTGTTCTTTTTAAGAAATGAAGAAATACATAAATAAACCTAAATAAATTTTAAGTTTCTGTAATTGTTTGATCAAAACAAGATGCTGTGAATTATACAGAAACTGTGAAACAGTATGATTAATGTCTTGAACTGGGTAACCATAATGGGACTCTGGTCTGTCTAAACTACCAACGCGACACAATGGAGCACTTCTTTGATTACTAGGCGATTTGTTCAATGCCTGATTTTTAAAACTCTTCTGTTTTAACCACTGAAAGGAGAATGAAATTTTTTAAGTACATAAAAAACACCTACGTTTCTTATTCTCCATGCAAACCTTTGATATTTTTTAAAGGAATGCCTGCAGTAAATTAAAGAGATTGTAAACCAGAACTTCATTCATGAATTAAATAACTTCAAAGCATTGAAATCTTATAATATCGCAACTTTTATACTCTTGCAATGTCTAATTTATTTTACTTGCCTGAAGACTTTTGCACACGAGAGTAGAATATTATTCCGATCTCAATTCACAATCGATCTCTTAAGCTTTGTTAAGTTGCACAGATTGTTGATCATACAGGCTGCACGGAGTTATTGAATAGTAATTATTTATATTCCCTGGAGAGACAGTAGAGTTCGCGGCACCCCGCCGCTTTGATACGTAGAAACTAATTATTAATTATATCGATCGCGCCACCTCGTTAGTCTACACTCAGCCAATGTGTGTACTGCTGCGGATATGTGCACACGCGATCGGGTTACGTGGATTAATTAACGATCGGCGAGTATTCGAAGCCAGAGCCCTTTCTCGCGATCGAGTATTCTTTCCTCCTGATGTATCGCGTGGCGTTAACGATGCCCGAGTGAGCCGCAATGCATTGTAATAAACAATATAAAGAAAATATTCCTGTCCTAAAAAGAGGGATTAAAAACTTGCCGAAAAACGATATGAAATATGAAACAGTACAATTCGCATCTTATTTAACTGCCACAATGACGCGGCAAGCGTCAGTCAACTACAGGAGGTGAAATTCGCTAAGCCCGGGGAAAAGAAAATTCGGCTGAGGGAAAACAAAAGAGGAATCTTCTTTCTTCGAAACTTTAGAACGATCTTCCAACAAACCACAAGAAAACAGCCAATTGCCGTCAACCGCAAATGCAGCCCGCGTCCCAGGAAACATAAGAGGCTCAAATAGAGGGGCGCCTTCCGGAACTCGGCGAGGAGGGGGCAAGAGGGGTCGCCGTTATACTAATTTGGCGGCCGCTCGTTAACGACCCCTTTGAGGTCATAACTTTTGCCGCAAGTCGGAGTAGCCGTGCTCCCGAGCGTATATATATATATGTATGCACGTACAAACAGTTTCAATGACTCTGGCACCCCTAACACAAACATAATATCTGCGCTTAAACAATATTGATAAAACAAGATCGAATTACTTTTAGCCTTTGAATATGTTTGATCGATTAACACAAATGCATAATTTAGCGATGCATTTATAACGTTGATCAAAGGATGCATTATTAGGAAATGCAGATATATACTAACAGTTAACACTTTTTATATGTACGTTGCTAAAAGTATATGGAACCTTGCTTGGTTGTAATAAAATAATCTAAAAGAATTTAGACGATCNTTCTTCATTATTTCAATAGCAACGTAATTCTATATTTCCTAAAGTTCTCATAAAGTGTTATACTACGATGGGGAACAGGATACTAAACTCGTTATAGTCAATAATTATTTTCCTATAAGATATAACGACTGGTATGCTTATGTATGTTCGCCACCAAAGAGAACATGTTTGAACTAGAGACTGAAGTCGTAAGTAAGAAAGAAAGCTAGTTTAATTTATGTATATGTTTTCGTTTGTTATTATTAAGAAATAACATTTAAATAAGAGAAACTGTTACTACAATGCTACAACTGCGGATCTTTATAACCTTTTGTAGCATAAATATTTTATTTCGCATAAAAATTCGCAATATACTTATTACTCTGTGTAATTGGAAATCATAAATCATTATTGGACGCGGAGGCAAGGTGAGAGCGACGGAATTTCGAGTCACGCGTACGACTCGTGCCTTTTATCCCGCTTCGCCGCTGCTCACAATGAGTCGACGCAACGCTCTCGCGAACCGGCGAGACGCGCGTAACAATTCAGAGCGGACGCTTGCGCCGTCTCTCGTGCGTCCGCTTCGCTGTGGTGGGGCGGAGAAACGTGCTCTCGTCACCCTCGAGAATCGCCACCGAGACAGTCAGTGAGCGCCGCGAACTCGCCGTGGGAGGTAGCGTTTGGTGAATAGTCACTCTGTAGGACGTGAGTCGCGGCTAATCCTTTGGGAACAACTTCCCCCGATTGACTTACGTTTACGGAGTACAAAAGAACTGGAAGTCGTTTAGACATTGAACCGCAGCCTCCATTCGCGGAACGATGGAACGTTAGATTCGGGCGCGAGAATTAGTAAGGTTAAGTTTATCGGACTGCGATCGGCCGTTCGATTTTTGGTGACAGTTAATCGCGATGCGCGAATGTACGAGTATCGGCGGGCAGACAAGAGACCCTGTTCATTAAAATTGCGGAAATTAATACCTTGAGATCGTGGCTTGAGATTCTGACGTTCCATGTTTCATCCCTCGGTTCGGCAAGGTGGATTCGGGCAGGGGATCGTCGGACAGCTTCTCGGCTAGCTGACGTCATCAAGAACAAACAGGCAGATCGAAGATCCGCAGGAAAGGAGATATTATATCTCTGGGCTGAAAGCCGAGGGACAAAGAGACCCGACGTCGTCGTCTAAGAGTCGCCGTACCAAAGACGGAAAAGGGAACTGATCACGATCACAGAGGACACTGAAGATAGCGACAGGAACAAGAATTCCAAGGGAGAGGAATCGTTTCATCAATCGATCGTGCGATTCGAAATCGACCTGAATCTCGCCAATTAACTGAGTATCCATCTGACGTTTCGTTCTTCGGTCGTCGTCGAGTGTTTTCGGTGGTGCCATTTTCGTTTCTATCGGACAATCGCGCGAACAGCCGCGGAGGGAGAGAAAGTACTCTTGTGCAAGATGATAACAAGTGTCGGGATCGCGATCAACGTCCGGCTGTGCCTGAACGCCTGATCGCGAGAGACAGCTCGTGAAACCGACGCGTTGGACGGCTTTTTTCCCCTCGGCGAGATTAAAAAACGATGTCCGACAGGAGCAAGTGAGAAACCCCCTTTTTTTGCGTGTCACCTTCCCTCTTCTCGACGCTCTCCACTCGACGGGCGAAAGATGTGCCTGCGACACTTGCTGCTCTGCCTGCTGGCCATCGTTGTCATCGTGAACGGTGAGTTTTTCATTACTCAATCTATCACCATTCTAAAATGTGTTCTGTAAACTTCGATAAGAATGATCATTTTGACGTACGAATCGTACCATCGTACGTGCTTTCTAACCCCGTACTATAGTACATTAAAGCGAACTTTACAGTCGTTGTTCGGTCTATTGTTGACCGAGTGAAAAAGCACGCACAGTAATTGTACCGGAATTATTTGAGCCGGGTTAGTTAGGTGACTGTAGCGTTGATTTACGTAGTATTGTTAGCTGGACGACAGAACGCGTCGTCAGATTATGGCGTAGTTACGTATAGAGGTAGTCTAGCCCCGCTGTCTTTCCGGTTTTGTCCGCCGTTGATTTATCGAGGAACTTTCCGTGCAGATATTTTGCGACCCTACCTACATACGTGCACGTGCACTGGCCAGTACGAACGTACATATGTAGCCGTAATTCGGGGAGAAACGGTTACAACAATCGTGCTGCGTCATTGGAAAGGTTGAATAGAGCAATCGTTGGTTGACTTGTTTTTAATTACGGGGGAAGAGAAAGAGCCGATCGGTTGTTTGTTGACACCGTTCGAAGGCCAACCGTTCGCGTGATTTCGATGTGCTCTTTGTACGACGTAAAGCGGCAAGTTTCCAGCGTCTCCGGAACTTCTTGCCAACTATTTTTTCTTTTTGCCTCGTTCTAAATTAGTTAATAAAGAGGCAGCTTGCTTAATGTAGCCTAAAAGCGTGAAATTGTCTAGCTGTCGGCTCGATGAAATTTTAATTCGTTAATTGACAAACCGTGAGAATTCTCTCAGCATAATTCTTCTGCTGTAAATTAGCTCGGCACGTTTATAACGAGAAGCGACTACGTTGTTTCACGGTTTTCATAAAGTCCTCTTCATTCATAAGTTATCAAAGCTTTTAAGCTACTGTAATTGAATACGTAAAGAAGGGCAGATTTCATTTATCCTTAAACTGTCGGTCTAAATAAGACAGGCACGGGCCAGAGTTTAATCCTCGAAGGAACTAGCCTAAGTGTAGGAGGTAAGGGGGGAAGGTTGTCCGTAGAGTTAAGCGAAGGTAGATTACGAACGTTAAGTCGCCGAGTGGATGTTAAAGCAGTCGTGCGTCCGTTCCCAAAGAGATTTTTCGGGTTACGGCAAATAGTTGCTCGGAAAATAAAACAGGGAACAGCCGCGGGCTAACGCGCGCCCCGTTTTTACACGTGTCGGCAGATTTTACGGCGTGCCAACCCTCGTAATCTACAGAGACAGAGGGGACGGAGCGAGAGAGATGGTACAAAGAACAAGGACGAGTGAGAGAGCCGTGGCGGCGGGCGAAGGAACGGGGGATTGTAAAAAAAGCCGACGCGGATCGTGGGGTGTTAACGCGCGCATTAACGGAGCTTTCGTCGGGGAAATAAAAAACGATATGCATGGATGGGCGGTGGATTTTCGTGTCAACCGTAAAACAGAAAAAAGAGCCAAGAGAAAATCGCGCAAGGTGAAAGAGCACGAAGCCGTGAAAGTGAATCAAAACGCGTTGTTTCCCCGCCGTTTTTCTCTCTGCTGCCTCTTTTTTCATCCCGTTCGCCCCTCCCTCCCTTCCTTCCTTTCGACTTCGTATCTTTGTCAAGAAGGGGGAAGAGCCGATGCCGATTCTCTTTGAAATGGCGAATGAATGAAAATACGTGGCGTTTTTAATGGTTCGTTTTTCCAACTGCTTTCGTTCTCAGCCACTCTCCCTCTCTCTATCTCTTTCGCTCTCCCTCTCTCTCTCCATTCGTCTGCTAATTTTTCCGTATTCCCATTTTATTTCCCGTACCGCGATTCGTCGGATCGTTCGGCTTTCCACGGTCGTCGCGGAATCGCACTGTTTATGTTCAATTACTTAGCAGCGTGCCTCGCAATAAACGAGATTACGCGTCTAATGAAATACGCACTTGCCACGGACCTGTTTATTTCATGCAGTAGCGTTAAATCCATCGCGATATTACCTGTTCGCCCACGCTTCTTAACCGCTTCGCGACCGCTTTTATTGTTGCTGGTTTTATGAACGGTTCGGTCGGAATTAAGTCCCGTTCGTTTACATACCGGCTTTAAAGCGCAACGACTTCGTTATAACAGGAACAGACAAATTTGCGTCGTCGCGTCGTCGTCGTCGCCTTGATGCGCACAGTCTGCTCGAAATAATTGCAGGATTATCACCTTTCTGACTAACTTTGAGGGAGATTATGCTCTCGCTGCGTTTAATAATGCTCTCACTGGGTATGCGAACGAGGGAGCACACTCTCCTGTACATAAC